TCCCCCCCCCCCCCCCGCTATTGTGATTCGCTGTTTTGTATCACAGCATGGCTTTGTGCGAATTTCTCTTCCACGGTTGGAAACGAACTCACGATATTTGCGATGCACTATAACAGTTTCACATCCCACAAACTAGACGGAAAAGGAGTTATAATGTACCACGACTGTGGTGGCGTGGATATTTACATCTGCGAATGAACGGATGAACAGTTGTGTCACAGATTATTTTTAAAGCGGGTATTGCAAAGGGAAAATGTGATTAGTAATGGATGGTCAGTGTGAGGTGTGAGATCACAGAAATTTTCGCTGTAAAAGAGAAATACACTTGATTAATATATGTATTATGTCTTTATAAGGTATTGTAGCCCCGACTGAGAGATTACAAGTCTAGCCTATTTGGATCCAAAAGATGGTTTGGGGGGGTTGGTTCTACAGAATGTCACAATCGTTTTGCAAGGGCCGGCTTTGTGTGTTTTATGACGGACTTATTTTAGCTTATAGTATCTTTGCAGACAGAAAATACCAAGCATCTTAGAACGTAACTTATAACCAGTGTACAATCACCTTCTTTAGCTCACCGTTCATACTGTCATAGCTCTTGGATGAGTTAGCTACTCTATTTAATGTCTTCATACAAATCACATTGTCTTAGCTGGAGACGAAAGTAAGGAATCTATTGTGGGCCTGGTTATGTTTTTCTTTTCATAAACGTCCTTCTTTTCCTAAATACCAGTATATGTAAACACGATGCATAATTAATTCTTATAGGTTATTGTACTTGATAGCTAAGTTCTTAGACAGAAATTACTAGATCTGTTGGCTCTATCTGATTGAAGTCAGTAATTATACCACCTTACCCAACACTGCACATACGTGTATAAAGGTGGAGCTTGTTTTGAAAATCACGTGTCTGTTTCTGACAAGAACTGAGTAATATGTGAGAAAGCATGCGTCGTGGTACGGAGTTCTAGCACTGGCAATAACTTTTGTAGTCAGAAGTTGGATATTCGCAGCACTGTAGGCTGTATAAGGTCGGCCTTTTTCCCTTCTTGTGCAATGAAAACTCATTATCCATACGCTGATCTAGCGGAATTAACCGTAGGCCACCACTGGTTAGTACTGGCTTTATAGCAATATTTGAAGACCAATGCGACAAGACTGAAGGGAAACCGTTCGTGTAGTAAGTTTCATTCATTTTTAAAACTCTGTTTGACAGCACTTTCTTTTTCAAAACCATGTTAATATCGCAAAAATGACAGTGCAGCGAGATTACTGTATGCTTAGCATATACCAGTTTTTGATAATTACATAGTGAAATTTGATTACAACAAGAAATTAATCAAGATTTTTCCAAAGTATATCGTTTGAGACACTAGAGTTTCTCGCCATTTTCTCTGTTTCGCTTTGGGTGGAGAATGTGTTTCTGAAAACAAGATCCTCATATGCAAAATCAGATCCGGATATTAAACACATACCAGCCAGAGCAGCCAACTTCACGCTGATGACAGGTATCCAGCAAAAGCAGTCTGTAGCCACGATGACGACAAACCGCTGTGCCAAGGCGTGATCCTGCCTGTCCTGCGTCGAGCGGAGAGACAGGCCTGAGGAGCGCACAATGCGGTGCATGCGCCAGTACGCACAGCTGATGAACAGCAGCGCCAGTGTGTTGACTACGATGAACATCGCAGCAGAGTACTCCCAACCCTGCGGCACAGTTTTGCAGAAATTTATGAGTAATAGTCAAGTTTTGTCAATTACAAACCACAAAAATGTGTCCATGATGAACGTGACTTTTTTTAATTGGTACTGTTTTTCTGAAACTGTCCTAAGCCAGTTAAGTCCAGTATACATCCTCACACTATTTATGATTTGAGGTTTTCACGGTGGTGAGTACAAAGGTGGCTGTCTTCTAGGTTCTTAAACAGTGTAAATTTCTGAATGACTACACGGCGCAACAACTTAGAAGACAGCCATCTTCATCTTCACACAATATTTATGTTACAATCTGAATAGTGTCTTCCCATCTACGAAGCGCTCTAACAAGCTATCTCGTCCTTCGGGTTTTCCGATAAACTTTGTACGCATTTCTCATCTGTCCTATGAGTGCTACATATTCCTCAAGTTTCATCCTATTTGATAAATCACCCTAATATATTAGGGGAAGGGCACAAATTGAGAATTTCCTCATTAAGCAGTTTCCTATATGCTGCTATCACTTCCTCTCCCTTACGCTGAAATTCTGTCCTCAGCACTTCGCTCTAAATCACACTCAGCTTTTCTATTTACTGACATCAGCGAACGGGTCCTGAACGTGCAGCGGAAGGCAGACGCCGTTTCCCCCGTAGAACTCCACGCCGAAGTAATCCACCGTCTCGACGCACAGTGGCAGTGCAGCGACGACTGCCGCCAGAAGCCACAGAACCAGGACCAGCAGGGTGGCGCGGCACAAGGAGGGTTGCCGCCTGTCGAAGGGTCGCGTCACGGACGCAAGACGATCACTGGTGATCAGCGTTAGGATCAAAACTGAAGCCTCACAGCTCAGCGTGCTGAGAAATCCTGTTGGAATGCGCGACCACATCATTCTCAAGTTCGTGTGAAACTGTGACTGATATGCACTTTTTTGGTCGTATCTCAAACCGTTAAATTGTAATTACATTAATTAGAGTTATCGTGTTATTTTATTGTATACAATCTGTTTTAAATATTAATTACACGCCATAAATATTTTTTCCAATTACTGTCTTTTCCTAATCACAAAGACTTCGGATTGACAGAATTCATTTCATGCCATTGTTTAAATAACTCATTCTTTGTCACACCTAAATCATATTACCTCCTGCGGTTGTTATTTGCTTGGCAGTTAACACGCGTATACTCAGTTTTATCTCGCTACCGCTTCTTGAACCACAACTAACCTGCACAGTTTTACCATTGAAACCCAACAACTGCTCATTTTTCTCTTCAATTTAATTCGTTTCCTGTCTTTGAAGACAAAGTTCGACTACAGCGGTTACTGTGTTTTCTTTGTGCAGTGCTTTGTTTTTTTGTGAAAAATTGGGAGAAAATTTGACTCGGAACATTAATCAAGATTTTGGGCATAATTCAGTCTATTGTGGTAAGTTGTGACTGATGCTGGGATTTGGGTCTTCAAATACGATCTATAAACAGAACTTCAAAATCCCGGAATACGGAAGTTCGCACTTTCCTAGGTCGAAAGTGGCATTAATATCAATACCAAGGTCCAAAATAATGCTAACTTGAACATCGGAATAAGAAAATTAAACATTAACAATTCTATTTTTACAAACGAATGATCAATATAGTGTACATAAAAATTGTTGGTGATCTTTAGCAGTACATTTCTTGAAAGTTCTTTCTGTACGATTGGTGGTCATAAGAAAGACAGCAATTAACATTTTCCACAATTATTGTGTTCAAATTACAATCCTCCACAAAATGTTTTGTTTTTAATTATTTGAGGACACCAGAGGAATCTGACGGCAGTATACTAACCAAAACTATTTTAAGAAAAGACAAGGACTTTCATGAACATTTCCAGAAGAATTTTTAGGTAAAGGAGGGACGTAAGATTGCGTATATAAGTCAGAATGCATTCCAGTCGGACCAACCATCGAAAATCTGAGAAATTAAAATAGTTCATCTTGACATATAACCGGATTTCCTCCAATACGATATTGCGAAGTCTCACACGAGCTCACAAATGGCTACAAATATTTAGTTTGGCTACACCTCTTTCAGAATCTAAAGGAAACTATAGTCCACTGAGTAAGACTTCTGTTGTGACGGACTCATGAAAACACTTGAACTTTAACAGAAATGTGCGAACCACAAGATTATAATGTTGAGAATTAATTATGTAAAATTATATAATAATATACCAGTCTTTGCCTCAATGAAATATCTATACCCATTACAGAAACAAAGTCAGATTTATTTACTTTTATCACGCCCTCGATGTATGCCTATCTGGCACCGTAATAAGTTACCCGCAAGTAGCACTAACAAAAAGCCCATGTCTTTTATGATTCGCTATTACAGGGCTTTAGCAGACAAATCAGTAATGAGTATAAATTGTGCGGAGGCAGCAGGATTATCACCCGCTACTTTGAGGCACTAAAAAGACTAATAAAACAAGTCGCCTTGAGCAACTTTCCAAACGGGCTGAGGGCCCAATCCCTTGTACGAGATGATGCTGATGATGATCATGAAATAATATCAGGTCAATATTGTCTTTTAACTGTTATATCAATTCCCATCTTGACACAACGCATTCGAACACTGACCTCGGTATGTCTTCATTGTTATAACACTATTTCAACTATATTTTCAGCTCCTACTGGTAAAAAGCGTGTTTCATCGACGAATATGTGACGTGTGGGTTACATGATTCCCAGAAAAAACGCGACGGAAGAACAGAAAGACATAAACGGGACTGTCATACACTCCTTTCCCATGACAGTGCAACAGAAAATATAACAAAATTGGAAAGGATAACCTTTGGAGTGCACCAACATTCCAAATGACAAAAATCAAATTAGAAACAATCGGGTCATTTTGTAATTTTCTCTCGCGCTAAGGCTTCAAGTACATCTAGTAACCAAACTTAACACAGCTCAACCCCACTTGATCATCCCCAATCTAGCCTCCTGTAACTCATCACCACAACTTGACACAGCTAAACCTACCGCAATCCAACCCAACCTTAACTTAAACTGGCCTAATCGAAGATAAATTAAACCTGCCCTAACATTAACCAAATTGAATCTAACCGAATCTAATCTTACATCATCAAACCTAATTAGACATGTTCTCCGACCGAGCTGGGGGACTGTATCCTATGATACAAATCTCTCTGTAATGGAGGTACGCCCCACTCCTTAAGCCAGCCAACGAAATCTTCGCCGTCGCTGTTGGCTGTTTCGCTCGACCATGGGGGTTCTGCTCCCTCTAGCGGGTTCGCTCCACACGGAAATTTTTCTCTCAGCGGCTGATCTGCTATATTCGCGTTACCCTGCCGTTCACCACTGCGGCTGTCGTGGGAACCTTACACCCGTGGTTCTTGAGGGCTCTCCTCCAGTATAGGGCTCTGCCGTACACGGGTGTTTCGCCCCGCGGTCTCTACTCTATACCCGTTCTATCCCACCTTGCACTACATCTGGCCACGGGGCACACACTACAGCCGCCACTTTTCGCGCTTCGGCCAAACTACGGGACCTCCACTCCATCCAGTCAACGTGTATCATTCTTTAGTACAAGCGAAAGGCACAAGTCCATTTTCAATTGTTCTCAGCGGTTCTCAAGTTCAATTGTGCGGACAGAGAAATGGGCAGACAGGAGATCCAGCTGGGGCGTGACAAACACCTAATAGGGTACAATTCTTCCGCTTTAACCCATAATTTTCAAAAATTGAAGATTTCTGTCTTCTAGGTTGTTGCGCTGTGTAGTCTGGTCGATGTTAACCAACGTTTCAGAGGTCATACGTATTGCTCAATTACGAAGAATTCAATTACAGAATTTTATGTTATGGTTCGCTTCGAACTGAATTGCCACATTGGAATTTGGAATTACATTGAACGAGACAGTTCTGACACACACCGCAGGCATTGCAAATGGAGCTGTGCCGCCACTGGAAGTCGTGCTTGATGTAGATATCGCGGTAGTGCCAGTCCGCTCCTGCTATGATCATTAGGTAAACACCCATTAGCAGGTCTGCCAATGCGAGCGTCTTAATGTACAGGGAATGGACCGGGTTTGGCTCTCGGGCCACTAGTCGTCCAAGCAGAACCAATGTGTTTCCAGCACATGCCAGTATTGCCATAACCCACACACTGAAATCAAGCACAATAAAGTCAGTGTTATCAAATGATGTACAGGCATACCTCGCTTAATTGTACTTAGCTTTATTGCGCTTCGCAGATACTGCGTTTTTTCAAATTGAAGGTTTGTGGCAACCCTTCGTCGAGAAAGTCTATCGGCGCCTTTTTTACAACAGCATGTGCTCACTTCTCTGTGTCTGTGTGTCACATTTTGGTAATTCTCGCAATGTTCTTGCATTGTTTTTTAGACATAATGCTATTGCACACTTAATAGACTACAGTATAGTGTAAATATAACTTTTATATGCACTGTGAAACCAAAACATTCGTGACTCGCTTTATTGCTGTGGCCTGGAACCGAACCCGCAATATCTCCGAGGTATGCCTGTATCTGACCTTAGATAGGTTTCTTAAGGTAATGTTCTTTAAGGACGCTCAGCTTATACTCGTTAATCTCCAGGTTCTTTATGCACCCGTTACTTAATTACTATTCTCGATTCGTACGAACAACTAGCCTTGTCAAAGAATATCCCGCTTACTTCATGGAAACCAAAGGTTCATCACCGTATTTAAAGAAATCCCGCCAATGGATTCTATCTTGAGCTAAATGAAAGCAGCTCTCTCCATCGATTCATACCTCCCTAAGGTCCATCTTAACGTGATCTTCCCACCTATGCCTCTTTCCTTAAAATGGTCTCCTCCCTTCAAGCCGACGGCCAAGTTCCCTGTAAATATCCCTCCCCTCCCTCAGCGTTCCGCATATCCCACCCTCTTCATCCTTCTGGATTTAATCACCCTAACAACATCAGGTGAAGATTACAGGCCGTGAAGCTAATCATTATGCAATTTCTCCATGATCCATCTTCCTCCCTTAGAAATCTAAGTATATTTCTCAACACTATATTTTCAAACACCTTCAATCTATACGTCTTCTCTCAGCTGTTAGATATGTTAGGCAGACGGAAATACATGCAGCTGAGCCATTAGTATTTAAGCCAGGTTCTTTTGAGTTTGAAAGTGCTATTGCAAAGTTAAAAAGGTATAAATTGTCAGGCGGTGATCAAATTTCGGCAGAAATGATTCAAAAAGGAGATGAAACATTACATTCTGAGATCCTTAAACTCCTTAATTATATTTAGAATAAGGAAGAATTGCCTTAGAAGTGGAAGAAGCCTATTAGTATACCAATTTACAAGAAGGGCAAAAAGCTGACTATGGTAATTATCAAAGCATAACACTCTTACCAACTTATTTAAAAATTTTATCCAACATCCTTCTGCCAAGATACGTAGACGGAATAACTGGGGTTCATCATTTTCAACAAATGATCAGATTTTTGCATTCGTTAGAAATTGTAGGTAAAATGGGGGTACGATAAGACAGTACCTCAGCTACTCATAGTTATCAAGAAAGCTTAATATTCAGTTATAAGGTTCTCATTGAGTTTGACAAACCCGTGAAACTAGATTGGCTTATTAAAAATTTTCAGAGAAACCTATAGCACGTTTCCTATTCAAAATGGTCTATAACAAGTAGATACTTTATTTCTATTTCCATCCAACTTTGGTTTAGAACAGGTGGTCCAACTTTTATCTTCGACCCAAGGGCCACGAAACCCTTAATGTCACTGTTTTTACATTGCCGTTATCTTTAATAATACTTATTCAAATATAACAATTTACTATTGCATATGCTGAAATATAAATTTTATTTAAACGTGCACAAACTACCACAGAGTTGTATATTATATTGCTCTTGTAACAGTTAGTATCGCTCATAATGCTTATCCGGAGAACTTACACGAATTATTTGAAATCCGCTATATTAACAGCTTGTAACTGATACAATAAACATTTGTACCAATAGAACCTACATCTTATGCCTTTAAGTCAATGGTTTTAGTTATAACACTGAGCAGAATGTTCTTTTAACATTGCCGGAATATCAACTTCGAAAAAAATGGGTTTATACTAACTAGTAATAAATTAACAAATACATTCGAGGGCCGGATCCGGCCCACTGGCAACCAGTTGGACCGCGCTGCTTTAGAATACACCATTAGGAACGCCCAAGAAAACCAGGTGGTACTGAAATTGAATGGGACACATTAGCTCATGGTCTGTGCTGATGATGTAAGTCTATCAAGGGACATAAATACAATAAGGAAGAACGCAGAAGCTTTAATTGTTAATAGTAATGAGGTTCCTGCAGAGATAACTCAGTATATGTTGATATATCGTCACTACAGTGCAGGGCAAATCGTTATATAAAGATAACTAATGGATCCCTTAGAAATGTGGCAAAGTTCAGATGTTTGGGAGTGAGAATAACAAATAAGAATTTGATTTATGATTAAATCAAGAGCAGATTAGATACGGGTAATGCCTGCTGCTCACAACCTTTTGTCTTTCCATCTGCTGTCTAAAAGTATAACAACTAAATTATACAAAACTATAATTTTGCCTGCAGTTTTGTATGTGTGTAAAGCTTGGTCTCTGACACTAAGAGAGGAATGTATACTAAGGATGTTTGAGAACAGAGTGGTGAGGAAAATATTTGGATCCAAGAGGGATTAAATACTAGGAGTCCAGAGAAAATGCATAACGAGGAGCTTCATAAGTTGTACTCCTCGCCTAACATAATTGGATTTATCAAGTCAAAGAGGATGAGATGGACAAGGTATGTTGCCCGCATGGTAGAGATGTGTGTACAGTATTCTGGTTGCAAACAAGAAAAAGTGACCACTAGGAAGACTAGACTTAGACGGGAGGGTGATTTTAAAATAAATTTGGATCAGGATAGAGACCAGTGGCGGACTCTTCGAAACACATTAATGAACCTTCGGGATCCATAATATTTTGTAAATTTCTTGGGCGTCTGAGCGACTGTCAGCTTCTCAAGAAGGACTCTGCTACCTGGAGTAAGAAAGTATTACATAGTCAGTATAGGCAGTTGTATTCAAAATGATCATCGTCCATGTCTTTTGTAAACTCAGACATAGATTGGATACAGATATCAAGGTTAATACACCGTATTATTATGTTTATACATCTTTTTGGTACACTGTATATAGATAAATGTAAATGGCGTCCGTTACAATCGGTACTTTTACTCTAGATTTGAGCTGTTAATATCAATCATTACGTAAGTCAGGCATACTACACTCAGAAAATAAAGTGTAACTGCTGTCTGTTCATCAGGTGTTGCTTTCACTGATAAGTTTTAGTCAACGTAAAAACAGTTATCAATGTAATTGAACCTGATGACTATGACACTGGACCGAAACATGTTGTTCCAGTGAATGGACTGTGAACTGTGTGTGAAAAGTGATGAACAATTAAATCCAAAAGTAAACATAACGCACAAGGATGCTACAATACACAATAAAAAATGGAAATTATGTCATTTAATGCACCGTTCTAGGCTTAGAAATGTATTATCTTCGATTTATCAGTCTGTCTGTCCTAAAAGGATACCCGCCCCCCTAAATTAACTATTTTAATAATACTATATATATATATATATATATATATCGCGCCCATATTGAAACGAGCCACAAAATTTAGTTTCGTTTCTAGTTGGACAACACATACCACCTACTTTTATGAAAACTGAATACTGCGTGTTTTATGTTATAAACTTTATTATTTCTTGTTACCAGTCCATGCCCCGTCCAAGGATTCCTACTGAACACGTAAAAGAATTATTAGTTTCTGAAGTGAATTCAAAATTGCAACAGACTAGAAGCCTTATTCCTTAAAGATAAAAAGAATAAAATCTGCTATTTTCGAGGTGCTCCAAACATAACAGGGTAAGTTGACTCGCCTGGCGCGGAGCACCACGCTGTCCAACAGGTGCTGCAAGCTCGAGATACCGTCCCCGCGCGGTTCGCACACTCTCACGTGAACGGCGGCGGAGCAGAAGCGGAACTCGTCGAAATATCTGTGAACAAGCGAGGGAGTACACCAAGCAGGCAAAAATCTTACTGAATGTGCTCGCATAGTTATCGCTGATATATTTAGCCCTTGGTTCTCAAACGTTTTGTGCTCGCGGCAAACTGTAATTAGAAGAGTGAATTAAAATTTATAAGAGTACACCTATTTTTAAGTAATTTTTAACTTCTACATTTTCGTGCGTCAGATCTGTCAATGATACTGTCAAAGATCACTACTTGTGACAATGCTTGCTTCAACCGAAACTGTTTCCAGCAAATGATACTACACCTGACGCAACGTGTACAAAAACGTAAATACGTATTTACTGTTCGTCGCAGACTCAGTGAACAAACGGAGTCCGTACGAATGAATTTTCAAAACGAATTGGCTAAGAATATTCATAACGACTATTCTAACAGCACCAGAAACAGTACCTGCTTCTACCATTGTCATTAAATTTCTCTTCCAATTTTCAAAAATAAATTTGTTGTTATGCTTTAACTAACTCAATTAATTACGGATACTAATGTGATATTAAGAATTATTTTAGTTTTATTTACATATTTAATCGTACATAACCACTCTTATATTCAGAAAACTTGTGGCATGGTAGCGTGTCACGATTCACCTGTTGAGAACCATTGATTAAGCCATTGAACTCAAAATCTTGATGTCCTCTAATTTCAAAAGTTCAACATTAAATTCAAAGCCCAGGTTCTATCTTTGTTATCTTGTCCACAGAGGGTTTGGTCCACAAACCGCCTTCTATAATGAGCAGGCTGAGTCCTTTTTCTTTCTTTCTTTCTTTCTCTTTCATCCTCTTTTACCAGTAGATTTAGAGGTTTCTTATGTATTCATTTTGATCTATTTGTACGATGGTAGGACTCCTTGGATGAGTGATCATCCCGACGCAAGGCCTCTATCTATGCAAACACAGAAAGACGCGGACATATATCCATGCCCTGAGTGGGACTCGAACCCACGGTCCCAGCGGCGAGGCGCACGAGGTCCATGCCTCAGACCGCGTGGCCACTACGGCCGGCCTGAGTGTGTTTCCTGGGATAAATTGGCCTTAGCGTGAACCTGAGCACTCACCACCACTAGAGCTATGATTAACATTGCTTGAAACCATAATTCTGTTCCAACAGTCAGTCAGTTCCCTCTGTTATCATATAACTTTAGTTACGATCGTGAATGTATTTTTAAGTTTAGGTTTATTTTTTACGAACTGGCTTATTTAACGAAGCTTTGCCAACTTCGCAGTCAGCACAGCGCCGTTCTATGTAATTAAAAGATCCACTTCAGCTTCCTGTGCACTTTCATTTCTATTTATTTGGCCTAGTATTAAGTTTATAAAACGTACATGTGCTTGAGTTTCTGCAGGCGATGAAACACTTGGTTATCCACTCTCTTCAGCTCATTGCGCTGCAGGTTCCTAAAACAAATGCCAACAGAAGGTTCTTAAAACATTTATCATCACCTTACATGGAGAATTTATTGGCGATTGATTTAATTAATAGGGTCTCGGTACATCGCAACTTTCAGTACAATAATTAAAAGATCCGATCGCAAATCAATAGTTACCTTACATTTGTACAGTAGATACACTTCCCCTGGGATAAATTTTGAAATAAAATATTAGTGCATTGTTTTTAGTGTACGCATATTTTCTGTTTTCTATCAAGGAATCTGTTGTTAAAATATACAAAATTATTATTTTCTTTTTTCTTTTATACGGTTCTATGACAGTTTATCTACAAGTATTTAATCTACAAGCCATTTCATCCACACCAATTTCATGTATGCCAAGTTACCTACCGTAGTTTCACCTACGAGATATTTCACCTGCTCCAGATCACACATGTATTCGTTTTCACCAGGCAGACAGAAAATACAGGCAAGGGTACACATTCGACCATATGGGATATTCCTCTCTTAAAGGTTCAGAAGAAAACATTCTAATTACGAGGCGCGTCCCAAAAGTAAGTTTCCCACTCGTCCCACAGCTAGCAAACCTTATATTGCGCGAAGCGACTGTGCGTACGTGATAGAGCAATGACGTAGCATGGCGCATGCACTAACGGAACTTCCCGCGTTCTCACA